CTGTGTGGCGTTGTGTTGAATTTCGTGAGTTTTCTAAGAGGCTGTGGATGAACATAGCTTAATGTCCATCCACATCTAGGAATCGTTTTGTACAAGCAAGGAGCCTACCACGGCCTACTTCCCCAACAGAAAGACAACGTCCGGTGTCGATCGCATCGCTTTGGACTCCTTTCCAGGTGATCACACCAGGCCTCGCCACGTGTAGCGAGGGAAGCCCTCGCTTGCGGCCGCACTTGGTGGCAGTGCCCAGCGGGAATCAGACTTTGATAGCAGGATGGCTGTAGCTCGGATGAACGCAGACGGCCTAATTGTACGTACAATTTGAAAAACATAATGTCTGAAAGACAATCTTTTGATCTTCGCCCGGGTCATCTAATTACGTTCCCTTCCAAAAAAGGCTTTGGTGGCGACAATTTGAGACAGTGATGCAGGTGTCTCACAAGCCAGACAATTCAAAGCTGCTTCACAATATTAAACACTGGAGGGCAGTCTTATAAACTCCTTGCGTAATTGGTGTTCAGCTTATTTCTGGACCACCGGGAAAACTGCATCGGTACAATGGTCTAAACAGGTGCATATTTCGATTCAACGCTTGGAAGGAAGAGGGACAAACCCTGGAATTCGGCTAGAATTGACGTTAATTTGCTAACTGGCTGAGATACCGAATGATAGTAGCGTCCTTGCTCCTAGTAGTAAGGCACTTGTTTCTAATAGCAAACATTGTTACTACTAGTAAGGCACTTGTTCCTAGTAGCAATGCACTTGTTCCTAGGAGCGAACATTGCAACTCGGTGAGGCGAGATTGTTGAATGGCCGGCAGCCCAAATCGATGTCGGGTGACCCGGACAGGTCGTAGGAGCAACGTGAGCTACGAACGGAGCAAAGGGCATCGCTACTAGGGGCGCTCCTGGCCTTACTACTAGGAGCAAGAAGCTATTAGGTTGGAGGCCGCTATGAGATTCAAAGGGGTCCTTTCTATCAAGTTGTCGTGATTTTCGCCCTCGAGCTTAGGACTCAGCATGCGGAAATCGCAGCACTGAATCGGACAAGCTAGCGAATTTACGGTCAAGATGCAACAATTGTCATGCTAGCAAGATAAATAGATTAAATTTAATTTAAAAAAACACGGCCAGAAAAAAGACGGTAACAATAATGTGTTTTAGTTTGGAAACAAACCACGTTCTTGTTTCCACTTGCTACGCTCATGGGTTTGACTTCCAATACTCTCGAACCTGGCCAGGTTGCCGAAGAGCACCACCCTGCGGCAGTTGCGGCAGATGACACTCGTGGTGGCAGCCTGTGATCAAAGAAATGTGCAAGTGTTGCTCCCATATTCAAAGGGACAAAAAACTTTAAGACATTCTTATTAAGGGGCCCTTACCTTCATTGTTTCTTCTCTAAGCATGGCTATCGCTATGGTGTTTGGAGTACTTGGGCATGGCCAAAAGTGTCAGAGGTTTTGGACTGGAAACGGACTCCGCAGTGCTATTCATTGAGGGTTTCTACTACGTTTTCCAGGTGATTCGGCCCAAGTACAATCAGGAGTTGCGGCGCTCCAGGCAGGGACGGTTTCAACATCCGATTCTCAACATGCCCTGAGTTGCTTTTCATATCCAGCTTGCAGGTGTTCATTCACGACCCCCTCCCAAAAGTCCGGAAATGAAGATCTTAAAACTAAGAGGATCGGGCAGTGCATGTTTGGTTTGCACATTCACTTTTGACACGCAGAACGTCCTGTGACACTTCAAGTTAGAGAAGCAACCGTCTATTCGTTTTGCTACGGTGCAATAACAGACATTGCTAAATATGTGTCCTGAGGATGCTATGTGCACAGCCCTGTCAGAAACTCAGCGTTGCGGCAATTGTCTCGTACAATGATAGATTGAAAAGCTTGGACACTGTTCATGACCTGACAAGAACGTAATCTCGGTTGATCTCGGCGCTTGATTCTGTGGAAGCCTCTCAGAAAACCAGAATCAAAGGAATGTACAAGTCTTGGTGCAGTTCTGACCATCATCTAACACAATGCTGGAATTGTTTGAACATGGCCAAAGCTCCTGTAGTCACTACTGTGCACATGACACAGGGCATTTTGTGTAAAAGAGTTGCAACAGCCACAAACACTGGTGGACTGAGAGCAGCAGAATCGGTCTTAGGTCTTGAGTGTGCACAGATCATCCGCGCTTTGGGCATTAAGACCGTGGTGTATTCCTCTGAGGACTTTCAAGACTGTGCTTGTCCTCCGATCAACATGCAAAGCGACAATGGAAGACAGTGTATAGTAACAAATCGAACATCTATATAACATCCTGTAGATTTGAGTGTGTGTGTTGAGATGGCAGGGCTACACGTGTCTCTTTGAGAGGTCTTTGTATGCACCAAACAAAGACCTAGCAAAGAAGAGAAAGGACAGACGGAAGGAATGTTTGTGCCTTGAGGCCTTGTTTGTGTTGCATGTTGTTTCTACTACTTGTCCTTGGAGCCAAGTCATCTAGGACATGCTGTGCAGCTGCACGCCACAAGAGCTCTTGAGCATCTCTTCGCCTTCCTCTGGTGCCTTCGGGCTGCCGATGTTACGAGAACCTGATGAGTCTCTGTCTGTTATTAGTTGAAATAGGTCAACAAGAAGCTATTAGAAACCATTAAGAAGCTATTAGAAACCATTGTTTCTAATAGCTTCTTGTTACTACTAGTAAGGATACATCCAACATTTGGATCTTTCATTCGCACCCTTGAGGCTAGAAACAAGGTTCGCTACTAGTAACAAGTGCCTTACTAGTAGTAACAAGATGCAAATGCAAACTGGTTGAGATGTGTTCCTTTGTTTTTCTGGTTTTTCTCACACCGCTTCGCAAAGACCGCCCGCACGGACTTGGTAGCTCTTAGTTTTTAACGTGATCGATGCGTCCCCCCTATTACCAGACGTTGCCTTTTAGATATCGACTACGCTATCTTAGGCGTGTTGCAATCATCAGCCCCAACAGGGAAACCCGCAGGAATAATGCAATTCCATTCGGGCAGCGTGACTAACATTATCTCAATAGTCTTATCCTTTCTCTTTCGGGAAGGCCACAAATGCCTTCTCACTCGGGCAGCATAACTAACATCGCCAATGACTTGCACGTTCTTCATCGGTTTTAACAGCTTCAAAAACATTATATTCTAGAGTGAAAAAGCTCCCCAAGCTAAAGCCTAACAACTAATAGCGGCTTATGCAAACTGAGACAACGCCTCAGCACCTTCGGTGCGGGCAGGTTTCTTTTGAAAACCTGTGGCCCTGCCTCCTTGCTCAATTGTTGTAGGTGCCTACTCAGTTGAGCAAGGGAGAAGTTCGCTTACCTATGGACGCAGGATAGCGCTCGCACTCGCACTAGTGATTTTGGTTCCTAGATGTCTAGGGAGATTGGTTTCGCAAAGTCATTGTTTTCTCAGGGCTCCATGTCTGCATGGATGTTTGTTCCCTAGTCATCTCGTTTGTTATGGGATCTTGGCTTGTTGGTACAAATCTTTTGTTCAAATGAAGTTTTGTGCAGGTACAGAGTGGATCATGAGAGAAGAGGCTGCTTGTGACCAGTGATGGCGTGTTTGTACAGCAGATCGGTGTTGGAAAGCGAGCCACCTCACCATGAACAGTTCAAGTTTGTCCTCGCGTTTCCTGTGCTTCTCAAAATTTTATCATGATGCAAAACCTTTGATACCGGAAAGTGAAATACCGCATGGTACAACCTGGAGATTGAATCCACTGCAGAGCATCCAATGACACACTTCAATATGAGTTGTGTGTGAAGCATGCAAGCAAAAACTTGACTGCCATTCTCATGTTTGTTGACTTCTGACTACTTCAGTCCGATAGCAACTACATGATTGTGTTCACTGCCAAGAATGCTGATTGGGGATTTACGAACGGGCTCCAGCTTATGTTCCAAAGCACAAGCAACGATTTTGAATCTTGAAGCTTTGGCAGTTGATGAGCGACGGCCTCCAATCTAATAAAGAAAAGAACACATGAAAACATTGAAAAACTAGGAACAAGTGCATCGCTACTAGTAACAAGTGCCTTACTAGTAGTAACAAGAAGCTAGTAGGAGCAAGAAGCTAATTGAAAAACATGAAAACACAAAAGAACACCTCTCCGGAGCTTTCCAATCATCCGACCCGCGCGGCGCAGTCCGTGAGACCACGTCACGGCAAGACTGCTGTGGTCGCTGCTAGTGACTAGGGGCATGCAGAGATGTAAAGGGGCTTCTGAATCGCACGTTCAACACATGTACCGAAGACATGCTTTACAAATTGTGGCTAGTGGGACTCGACCACATTATGTAGGCCAGACCATAGAAGGTCTTGGAATAGGTTGTGAAAGTCACAAACAGCCCGTTCAAATAAGAATGGTTCGCTCTGAGTGCCAAATGTCCACCTCGGCTGCTTGAGGAATGTTCTAGTTGTCGTGCCTGCAGTGCCACTGTTCTGTGTTCATAGCAACCATTTGCTGCCGTTTTGGCGACACATAGCGCTTGTTTGTTCACAATCCTTTCAAGGCTCTGCCTGTGCACAACCTTGTACAGTCTTGACAAGGCCTCGAAACCATCAAGGGTCAACGGGCGCAGAAAACGCCGCAGCGTTGGGTTGGTTGCTTCACTTGTTACATCATGTGTTGGACTTTGCCATATCGACCTGAAACAGTAACAAGGACGCTACTAGTAACAAGTGCATCGCTAGTAGTAACAAGTGCCTTACTAGTATATAGTAACAAGGACGCTACTAGTAACACTCAAGTTGGTTCGGTCAGTCGGGAATCCGGAAGTCTCGCCGTCCTAGTAGATTCCTTTGCTAGTAATTACAATTCTAATTAAATTGTTACTAGTAGTAAGGCACTTGTTTCTAATAGCAAACATTGTTACTACTAGTAAGGCACCTGTTACTACTAGCGTGGCACCTGTTACTAGTAGCTTCTTGTTCCACTCAAGTTGCTTCGGTCAGGGAATCCGGAAGTCTCGCCGTCGAGCCTTTCCGCTTAGCCGCTTGGGGATGAGACGACAAGACGTTCGCCATGTCGGAGGGCAGCGACTTGCAGGGAATCCCAGAACAGAAGAGCATCTAATGTGAGCATCTTTCAAAGAGATCAAGAAAACATATGTGTTCATAAAGTTGTTTGTTGTTTTTCTATGTTTGCACTTTTTGGTGAAAGTGAGAAAGCGCTATCGTGTATAATTGGATTGTGGCTCTTGGAAGGCGACTTTGCACTCAGTGAAGTCATCGGCATTCCTTTCGTAACCTGAGAACTGATAACTAGGTCTTCTCTTGGTGTGATCACACAGTTCTAAACGGTATTTGATCACCAAAGTCGAATCAATATTGATGTAGAACACCGAGCGAAAGGTGGAATGATGTTGCTTCCGGTCATGTGTAAGAGCTTATCCAATCAAATAGGAGTGAATCACCGAGGAGTGTTTGGATTAGCTGTTTAGCGAAGGAATTTATCTTGTCCCAGGATCTAACACTTCCCATCACCATGTTTTGGCGACCACATGATTGACATTGACAAGTTGGATGAGGAATTCAAACCCCTTGTTCCACGTTGCTAACGCAGGGGTTGGCATTCAAGGTAGTTTTGGACTTGGATCGCTCAATTGTTGGCCAGCTTAGCGGCTATAGCAAAGCTAAGCTACGGCCATGTCGGGGAAGATCCCACCTGCTAGCGATGGCCTCCAACCTAATAGCTTCTTGCTCCTAGTAGTAAGGCCAGGAGCCCCTAGTAGCGATGCCCTTTGCTCCTAGTGGCGATGGCCTCCAACCTAGAAGCATGCCGGGCTACTACAAGTATGCTTTTCCAACACTACACGGCTGACACCCAGGGATGGCGGCCATGGCCTTCTCCTCAGAGATGGTCGAGTCCAACAGAATAACCCAATTTTTCCTGATGTCCCTTACGAATTGGGTAGAGGACGCTACTGGGAGCAAAGGGCATCGCTACTAGGAACAAGGACGCTACTAGGAGCTTTTTCTTGTAAAGAAGCTGCGTTGTTCACATTTGTTCGCCGCACAGTCTGGCTGGGCTTTGAAGTAGGTTCAGCGGCCTGGGAATCAGACGTTTGAGAAAGACTGTGACTCAGATGAAGATGAGAGCAGCGTGGGGATGCTCACGAAGCAGCAGCAGGAGAGAGTTCGGGTTTGCAGAACGCTGCAGATGTCCTAACGCACTTCCGGTGCTTTTGGCAAGCGCTGTGGCAATGTTTGCAGATTGAAGCCTAGAGGGCTAGAGTTCGACCAAGGTGTGCATTACCGGTATCCAGAAAAGATAGTTAAATGATATTAAATGTCTTCGTTGTATGTGTTTGTTTTGCATGGGAAACGACAGGAAGAGCTGGATTTTACAAAGATCAAGGCAAGTGCCGCGAGATTGAGACTGGATGCAAATGCTCTCTTCAATTGCTGACAACTTACTTTCTGATGACTTTGAGGGTGACTTGCATACCTGTCCAAATTCAGGCCAAGCCAAATGCATCGGAATAGCTGGCAGAGATTGAACAGGGAACAACTGATGGCGCAGGTGAACATGCAGAATGAGAAGTACCTCCTGGTACATTGGTTTGCAGGATGTAGGCTGTGTTGAACGTTGCAAACCGTTGAACCCTCGAAGCCGCAGATAAATTCACTATTGGCTTCGTTGTCACAAAACCTCTTCCCCTGGAAGTAGAAGGTGACCCTTAACAGCTTAATTGATTGTGCAAAATGATGATGAAGTCTCCTTATTTGCGCACTTCACTTATCCTTGTAGTTGGTTAGACATTTTGGAGTGGTTTTAGGTCAAGGAGCTGAGGACCTACGGAGTAATGGATGTTGAACTACTAGCTAATTAAAATCAACAAAAAGCTATTAGAATTATAATTAAAGTAAATCTAATAGCTTCTTGTGACTACTAGTAAGGCACTTGTTACTAGCAGCGATGCACTTGTTACTAGTAGCTTATAAACAAGTACCTGGAATTC